CGTGGCTCCCGCTTGCTGCCCCGCCCCGCCCCACCCGAAGCAGCTCATCAGATGCACCGTGCGGCGGCCAGGAGGTGAGTGAGCGCACCCGCGACCCCGATGAGCGAGGTTGAGATCCAGGGGTCAGGGGCGCTGCCGGGGTGTTCATCCCACCCCCACCTGGGGCCCCTCCTGGACCTTTGTGCTTAGGAACATTCCGGGTTGGGGGTCGCCTTGGCAGGGATGACTGGCCTAGGTGGGAGGCGGCCGCCGGCCGAGCAGGTGCCAAGGAAGGGAGGCGCGCCGGGCCGAGGAACCCGCGGGAGATGGTAGCTGCGGGCCTGCAGGGTTGGGCAGGGGGCGCCGGGGATGCCGCGCCGAACCAGCGGAGCGTTCTGGGCGGCTGCCAGTGCGGAACCCGGCCGGGAGACCTGCGGGAGCTACGCTGAGGTGGGATCTCCCTCTAGGGATAACTAAAAGGAGACGACCCCAGTTGGCCTGAGCGCCGGCGCGTGGCCTTCACCGGAAAGGAAGATAGGGCCCCAGAGGCCTGGGCCCGGGGACAGAAGGCTCGCAGTTTTTGGTCATTACTCTTGCAGTGAGCAGGTTCCTTGGAGGCAAGAGATGAGTATCGACCTGCTGCAATTGTAATATGTTCCCGGCTCAATATTTTTTCCCTTAAAAGGCGGCGGGGGTGCTTGCGGGAGGGGTGTGAGGGCCTGGGGACTGGGGCTCAGTATCTTGCAGTCCATATGAAAGGGGCTGTCTTTAGGGCGGTGGTGAGCCGGTCTGGGTGACGATGGCAGGAATCCGCCTAGGCCGAGAATTGAGGCTCCTGTTAATCAAGAGAAGAGGATAGGAAGGCGGTGCCACGGTTCCCTGGAGTCTGAATCTGAACGTGGAGGGACCTTCCTGGTAGCCAAGATCTGCCTAGTTTGGGGAAGCGGCTGAGTCCCTGACCTGCTCCTTTGTGCCCAAATGATTTCCCTGCCCTGGGGATTTGGTCCTGCTGCCCTCATTCCTGTCTGGAGGAAGCTCCTTGGCCAAATTCAATTAAGCAAATATTTACTGAGCTCTTGCTCCCTCAGGGCCTGGCGCTGGTGTGGACAGGGTGGGAGTGGACTAGGCCTACCCTTCCAGGACTGACTCACATCCCCACAGTGAACTATACAAAGATAACCTAGCTCCCAGTGTGGGTCCAGGGATCTCAGGAGGAGACTCAGAGAGCCCAGGCTCAGGTCAGACCTGCCTGTGGGCAGTGTGACATTTGAACTGGAGCTTGAAGGACATGGGTACAGTTGGAGTGGACATGGGTACAGTGCAGGGATAGGGGAGAATGGATGGAGGCCCAGAGAGTTATTTAGGCAGTTGATTCTGGTGAGAGCATGAGGGTGCTTAGGAAGAAGTCAGGTTTGGCAAGAAAGGTAGATGGGGGCTTCAAGGGACTGAGGGAGGTGCTGAAGTGGACTGACCCATTGCTTGTTAGCTGTGGTGGCCTCCTTGTTTATAAAAGGAGAACAATTCTGTGACCTCTTGAGCTGGAGTGGGGTTGGGAAGGAAATTTAAAGACTAGAGAGGGCTCCTTGCAGTCTGGGCACCTTGCCTCTGGGTAGGGCCAAGGCACTGGGTAACCAGTTCACTCAGCCCCCTTCTTAGCTAGGATGGAGCCACCTGCTTTGGGGATAAAGCTTAGCTGGTTACTGCCTTCAGGCCATGGATGATTGAGAGCAGTGACTATGGTAGTTCAGGAGTGTCCATTGGGAGTGGAGAGGGACAGGTCATGGTTGGATGAAGTGGTGTGCCTTCAATATGCCTCTTCCTGTAGAGATGAAGAGGTGCTTGCGTTTGATTTGAAACTCTTCCTGTGTATTCCTGTAATAGTCGTTGATTTTTTGAGACAGGAGGTGAATAAGAGTAGTTCCTCCCCCTCAGAAGACCAATGTTACTTTCTACCCTAGATCTTATCTTGGTAGTGTGCCCATCCTCAAATGTGAATGTATACATACATACACACTCTCTCTTAACTTTTGCTGAGGCCTGGGTTGCTGCAGAGAGAACAGGGCCTGCTTGCCCTCATGGGGTATGTGGTCTGGGCTGAACGGGACGAAGCCGCTTTGTTCTGTGCCTATCACCTGGCCCATTCCAGGGGCTTGCCATGGGCCTCAGGGTTTGGAACACAGGGAATGGATTCCCCCTCTCTGTCCCAAGCCTCTTGAACTTGGTTTTCAAGGAGGAAAAGTGCCTTTTCCTGGACCTCAGGAACATCTACTGTGATTCCAGAGACATCTGGTTGTCTGGATTAACTTGGTTGCCTTGGTTGCCTATATAGAGGGCCTTTTCAAAGAAGGAATGCTGAATGCTGGGGTAGGCTGGGTGAAAGTGTGGCCTCAGACTAGCCACTTAATTGGTGTGTGAATTTGGATGACAGTGTGTGCTCCTTCCTTCCCTAAAGGCAACAATTTGGCCATCCCTGTACTAGCCCACACTAACCTCAGGAGCCTAAGATACTGTATGGCTATAGAGGCATGCTTGTTACTGCTGCTGACCACAGCTGGCTTACAGGAACTCTGCAAGAGGCAGATTAGCTCACTGCTCTCCTGAAGACCCCAGGAATAAAACTTGGGATAACTAGGCCACTAGGGAAACCTTTGGACAGAGGCATCAGAACAGACACCAAAGGTTGGCCCTATGCAGAACCCCTGAGCAGAGGCCATGCTACAGCTTGTGCATACTAGAAGGGGCCCAGGAGTACCCAGACTTATGCCTCTGAGTTTGGAGGCAAGAACTCCAGTGTAAGCATCAGAAGATATGAGATCAGGCCCTGGTCCAGGCCTGTCCTCTCTCTGCTTTTTTGTCCTCATCTATAAACAGAGCCAAGAGTGCTCTGCTAGATCCCCTCCCACACATTTGGCCCCTTGCATATGTCCACACTGGCAGGGGAAGAAGTTTCATGGGAGTGAGCTGTCAGGAACCTCTGATGCTTCTGGAGGAGACCACAGCCCTCCTTACAGGGCCCAAGGAATGGAACCTTACATGTGGCCTTCATCCATTTATTGAGGTAATATGTACCAGCATCTGCCATGATCCAGGTACTGTGCCAGGCACAGGGGTACAGTAGAAATGTAGCATCCACTCCCAGTGCTCACTTCCAATGGGCAGAAGCTGACAGTAACACATGTAACTGAGTGCAGGTAAGTAAGTGTCATGCCATGCCAAACACTGAAGAAGAAGGAAGGAGGGCATCTCTCTGGAGTAGGGCTTGGTGCAGTGCAAAAGAAAAGTCATGGGCAAGTTATGAGGTGGCCAAAGGAGAACACCTAGGAGAGGGGCAACAGAGGCTTGGGTGGAGTCTTGAGGCTAGTCAAGCAGAGCTTCACATGTACCAGTAAGGTGGAAAGACCTAGACAAGTTTAGAGCAGAGGGAAGACACAAACTAATTTAGGCTTTTATAAGATCTATGCTGGAGCTGGGTTAGAGCACTTGCCTACCATGTATGAAGTACTGGGTTTGATCTCCAGTGAAAGAAGAAAAAAAAAAAGATCTCTGCTAATGTAGAATTATAAACTGGGCTGGGGCTAAGACCTGGAAGCTTTTCAGAACTGTGTAACATTCCAGTGAGCTAGGTGCAATAGAGGTGATGAAAGGTAGCTGCATGGGAGATTTATTTTCAAGAGTGGCAGGTCAGACTGCTAATGGAGAAAATGCAAGCCCAGCAGGTTTTTCATCTGAGCCACTGAAAGGACAGAGCTGGCACTAACTGAAGAAGACTTGGCAAAAGTCTTCTTCATGAGAGGCAGGGAATCCGGAGATAGACTTGAGACCTTAATAAACATCAGCACAAGTGGTGGTCAGAGGGAAAAGCAAAGTTGGAGGTAGCAACTTGAGGTCTTTGGCATCAAGGTGTGTGGGAAGCCTAGAACCAACTGAGGTCCCTTGGGGGCATAAGGGGTCCAGAAAGGGCCAGCATGGAGATTGAAGATTGTTTAGCCAATGAGATAGGAGCACAGTCATGACAGCCCCTCAGGAGGTTGGAGAAGGAGGCAACCAGCTTGGCAGGTCTCCCGGGTCAAAAACTGCCATTGGGAGGGGGTGCCTGGAAATGAGTGACATGGGCAGCTCTGGCTGCACAATTTATAGGGTCCTTATTAAGAAATTATTAAGCATCTCAAGGCGATGACAACAGAGAATTACTCCTGGCACTGGGCCCTGTGTTATTCCCTAGGTGCATGCCCATGAGATTGACCTGATTGTGGAGACTATGAAAACAATTCTGGGGCTATGATGGGCAGAGAAGGAAAGCCTGTTATATGGGCCTGTGGTATGCCCACTGCCCTTCCTCCTTTCTCTTGAATGGACAGGTAGGCTTCTGGAGTTGGTCAGACCCAGACCTGGCCCCTGGCCTGAGGAGCCCAAAATTACACATTAAGTGAAAAATTGCCTGCTCTGAGTTGTCATGTCTTTCCCCTCTCTCTATGGACCACCAGTAGCCAGCAGCTTCTTAGGTAGAAGGTAGCAGGAGGCAAGTCCAGCTTCAGCAGGCCCTGGGCAAGCATGGCCGACAGCTTCACACAATGGCTTCCTTAAATTCCTCTCTTCCACAGGAGCCTGCTACATCACGGAGTTTTGAGTTATTTGCTTCTAAATTAAGGTATAACTCTCTTTTAGAGACGTCCCTGGAGAATCCATCAGAAAGTGCTAAGAAGCGAGACTGTTAAAAGCCACAGTGCTGGGAGGGGCCTTACAAATAGTGTCAAGACTGGTATTCCTTCTAGCAGCCTCGAACCAGAAACAGACCCTGTCCAAGGGCTGTGGTGGACTGTGGTCAGAGCATATCTTTCAGAAGAGTACCCCTGCACTATCAAGTGGCCCTTCCCTGCCCCTGGGATAGGGAACCACCAGGACAGGATTCCTAGGTGAGGTCTGGTCTGAGCTTTGATCCCCCTCAGCAAGGCTGCTCCTGTCAGTTGTGAAGGCCAGACTTTGTCAGAGTGTTGGGGTTGGGGAGTAGGGACTAATGTGCATATTTTCCCCAGAGCCCAGATACAATTGTTAGCAAAGAGAGTATATAGAATCTGCCCTGGATTTTATAGCCAAG